ATACGATATCGAATATCGCGCAAAAACTTGTGCAAAATCGCAAGTACTTGCGGACTTCATAGTGGAACTCCCAACGGGAAGCGCGTCTGACCAAGAACCAAACTCAACCTGGGTCTTATACGTTGACGGATCCTCATCCAAACAAGGCTCCGGGATCGGCATCCGACTTGCATCCCCTACAGGAGAAATATTGGAACAGTTATTCCGATTAATTTTCCACACTTCAAACAACGAAGCCGAATATGAGGCCTTGATTGCAGGACTACGATTGGCCCACGGCCTGAAGATTCGTAACCTTCACGCTTACTGCGACTCCCAGCTAGTGGCTAGCCAGTTCAGCAGAGAATACGAAGCAAGGGACGAGAGAATGGAAGCATATCTGATCTTAGTAAAAGATATGACCCAAAAATTCGATCGATTTGCTGTTACAAGGATCCGTCGAGCGGAAAACGCCCAGGCAGACGCACTGACCGCCCTGGCATCCAGCTCGGATCCTGGTATGAGCAGGGTAATTCCTGTTGAATTCATCGAACACCCTAGCATTGGACCGCCCGTAGTCATAAACCTGATCAATGAACCGGAGGACGACATAGACGAAAACCATCCAGCCAAAGATCAGTCCAATTATGGATTCGATCGTCTGTGGATGGAAACAATTCTCGCATACATAACCAAGGAGAACTTCCACCGGAAAAATGGGCGGCCCGAAAAATAAAAACTCAGGCCGCACGATATGTTGTAGTTGACGGAGAACTTTACAAATGGAGATTCTCCGGACCACTGATGACCTGCGTGCAAGGGGAGAAAGCACAGCGGATAATGCAGGAAGTGCACTCCGGATCTTGCGGAAATCATTCCGGCAGAAGATCTCTCGCAATAAAAATCAAGCGCCACGAATATTTCTGGCCAACGATGGTAAAAGATTGCGAGGATTTCTCGCGAAAATGCGAAAAGTGCCTGCGGCATGCTCCGACCATTCATCAACCTGCCGAAGTTCTCTCATCTATCTCGGCACCATATCCGTTCATGCGATGGTCAATGGATATAGTCGGGCCAATGCACGCATAAAAACAAAAATGCTTCCTTTTGGTCCCGACCGATTTCTTTTATAAATGGGTCGAAGTCAACTCTTACGCAAGTATCAAAGACGCCCAAGTAGAAAGTTTCGTATGAAGGAACATAGTCTGTAGACATGGAGTACCATACAAAATTGTGACGGACAACGGATCTCAATTTATCTCGACTAGATTCGAGCTACGGTTGACCAAATCGACTCCAAGATATCCTCAAGGCAACGGACAAGCCGAGACCATTAATAAAACTATCCTCGACGGCCTTAAAAAATGCCTCGACGCCAAAAAGGGCAAGTGGGCCGAAGAGCTCGAAGGAGTTTTATGGTCGCACCGCACGACCCCGAGGCGAGCAACGGGCGAAACTCCTTTTGCCCTCGTATACGGGACAGAATGCATGATTCCCGCAGAAGTCGAATTTAAAGGAGTACGCAGAAGGTTGCTCCCAGAAAGGGAAGAGTCAAACAACCTGATGCTTCTTGACAAACTCGATTTGATTAAAGAACGACGGGATCAAGCCCTCGTCCGCATTCAAAACTATCAGCAAGCGGCCGCAAAGTACTACAACGCAAACGTACGTGGTCGCAGATTTCACGAAGGAGAACTAGTCTTACGAAAAATCTGCCAAAATACCGCAGATCGAAACGTCGGGAAATTAGGAGCCAACTGGGAAGGACCATACAAGGTCATAAAGGTAGTCCGGCGTGGAGCATACGAAATCGCAAACATGCAGGGCACCAAAATTCCTAGATCCTGGAATGCGATGCATCTCAAAAAAATACTATCACTAGGCAACGCGCCCGCAAAACGCTGAACTACGAGACAGCTTGATCCCCTTAAAGGGTACGTAGGCATCTTGTTGCAAGACAAGACCAGCCGTCCCCCCTCGTTAAAAAGGGGGAGAGTATGTGAGTATACTCGTATACTCCCGAAATTTCAAACTCAAAATTTCTCAAACTTTTTCAACAAACGTATCGAAAGAAAAAACGAAATTCTGAATATAGCGAGCGTCGCCAATGTTCGGAAAACCGTTCCTCTTCGAAAACAACAAACAGTCCGCCCACGACTATAAAACACACACAGCTTCTTAAGATATAGTCCCTAAACTATGTAAACATCTATCACTTAAAAATAGTTTGTTGCTGATCACAACAAACTCGCAACAGTCCTAAACAAACTTAAGTTATCTCGCAGAGATAGCTCTCGAACACCCGACACAATGGTAATAGCGCTATAAAATAAATCCAAACTATTAGTCAGCACTTCCGGGCAACTTAGGAATTGTTCCCGGTGAGATGCTCGATTCCAACCAAACGAATCGTAAAAGCCGAGAACCTATCGCGGATTCTAAATCGGTATGGAATCAGGGTTAAAATCGCAACAGGCAAAACAAAAGCCGACTAGTCATCGCTAGCCTCAATCCGAAAGTAAACCTAGGTCTTGCCCTAAATCCAGGACACTGGTCTCTAACGTCTCAACGCATGAATCGAGATCCTAAAGGCATGTCTTTTCGTCTACATCTAAACGCTCACCCGATTTACTAAACATCGTAAAACGAGCAAACGAATAAGGCGAGCCACAAAGGAAAAGGAATGCGAGACGACAACTCGCGGACCTCCCTCAATATCAACTCGAAACAAAAGGTTTAAACGAAAAACTGATTGTTCATTATAGAAAGTTTCCGAAGCAACAAGGGATTCAAAGCCGTAAAAGGTCAGTCCCGAACAAGTACAAAAGCCATTCTCGGCCAAACACATAAAAACCTAATTCTTAAGTCTCCTACGAGACAACAACTTCAGATACCCTCTGCACACGGAGTCTCATCCTCATCCATCGCATCACCAACTCCCGCAACAACACCTTCACCCTCGTCAGCAATCTCCGGATCATTACTCTCATCTGCATCTGGCTAAGTGGCGCTTTCGGCAGCAAGAGTCGGGTCGGAGTCACTTCCCTCGACAGGAACATCCCCTTCGTTCGCACGAACCGCCGATCCCTCAAAACTCTTCATCTTGCGCTGGAGTCTGCGCAGCTCCGAAGCCTTGGACTTCTTTGCATCCTTCGCCTTGAGCAAAGAAATCGCGGTCTTTCCGAGATCGTGCTCCAAGTCGCTGATCCTAGCCTCGAACCGAGATACCTCCACGGAATGCACACCCTCTATCACCTTCAATTTCCCCTCGAGCTGAGCGGACCTCAGCCAACTCCTTGGCAAACGCTCAACTTCGGACCCACACTCTTTGATCATCCCATCGATCAACAAAACAAACTAGAAAAGCCAAGATAGACGGTCAGATACGAATTAAAATTATAGTCTTTTTTAAACGTATGCTCGCAAACCTGTACCTTGGCACAGTGTTGCGACATTGCGAGTTGGGGGGCTAACTGTTGGTGTCAAAAATCGTAATCTCGAAATCAAGGTCTACGATAACTTCTGTAAAGATAAAATCTTTACATTCCACAGAATACAAAAATGGTTTTATAAAACTCGAGAAATTGTTTTATAAAACTCGAGGAGTCATCTTATAAAAGAAGTTTCCAAACAAAGGAAATCCGCGGAAAACTCGGAAGATCGTTATCTCGGAAGAACGAAACAAACGTCGATTACGCGATCGTCTGAGTTAAGCACAAAACCGCGAAAAACCGAAACCGCCGTAAAACGCGAGCTATTTCGACCAAGACTAGCTCTCCGAATGGCGAGCTCAGCCAGCTGGCTCAGCTCCCCGGGTAGCTCGCCGAACGGCGAGCTGAACCGGTCCGGTTCGGCTTGCCGTACGTCGAGCCGACCATCCCGAGCCTCGATCTCCCAAGTCCCCGATTCAAGGCTTACGTCCTTTGACACGATCATGTCCCGAACCACGGTCGAAATGTCTCCCGTTTTGTCTCAATCCATCTAATTGTTCGGATTTTACGATAAAAACCGTAAAACTTTGTTTTCTCGAAAGGAACTCGAGGAAATCGTATAAACAACAACATTTAAACGAGACATCAAAAATTGCCTAAACTATACGATTTATTCGAGATTTTTCATAAAAATCGTAAAAACGCATTTTTAATAAAAAACGTAGAGTGAATCGTAAAAACGGCAACGATTAACCGAAAAACGAACATAGCTAAACTTTAAGATTAACTCAGATAATTTACTGAAAACGGCATAGGATCAGGAAACGATCTCGTATAAAGTCGCAAAACGGATTTATCGTAAAACGGCTCGGAAGGTCCTAAAACGCGATAAAAAGCCCATCTCGCGATCTTAACGAACCCGAAGTTACGATAACGTTTTGGCGATTTACCCGCAGAAGAAAGATAAATGTCAAGTTTAAAGATAAATGTGAAAATTGAAGATAAATGGAAGATTTCTGCGTGAAAAAAGGAAAGATAAACACAAAAGGAAGATTCTCGATAAACTCGAATCTAGGCGAAATGGAAGGATCAAACCGCCAAGGAAGAGAGTATATAAGTAAGAGGTATAGGGCAGAAGCAGAGGACACGAAAAAGCAGACCTAGAGAGGCAGCTGTTAGCATAGAAATTTAGGACTTAGCGTTTAGACTAGCAAACCAGATCCTTAGAACGTTTCGACGTCTAAGTTCTGCAATTCTCTCTTGTTACAGTTGTCGATCTCTTGTTCAATAAAAAGCTTTCACGCAAATTCTTTATTCTCTGTTCTTCGTTGTTCATCCATATTTTGTTGATTTCGTTTGTTTTAGTGATTTCCGCAGAGATCCAGGACCTCGGGAAAAATATGGTTTTCCCTAAGTTTCCATATTTGACGGAAAATCGACAGTGTGGATTTCGGTTCCCACATTCAGTCTTTATGTACCATGAAGAGTCATGCTAATTTAAAGTAAATATGGACTATATCAATTTTTTTTTTTTTTTATGTAAGGACTATATCAAAATTAATGTTCTAAATTTAGTTACAATAGTTTGCGTGAGGATTTACGCTCTCGAGAGTCTCTTCTCGCCATCTATAGTCGCCATCTTCACTAGTATAAATACAAGCTCTTAAGCTCAACCCTTCACACAACAACCTCTTTTTTTCTAATTACTTAAAAGTGCGTTCGCGTAACAAGCAAAAGAAAAAAAAGAAAAACATGGCAAGCTCCAAATTTCTTGTTGTCTTGGCTTTGTTCTTTACATGCTTATCTCTTAATTCAGCCGCCTTTAGAAACAAACCCTGGGAACAAAGTAAGTATATGAATCCAATTTCTTATACCCTCTCGTGATATTATAAATGTAGAATGTGTAGATCGTCTTGGTTTTGTAAACATGTCCATGGCAATTATTTTAGTTACATTTATGTTTTCTGTTCTATATACACATGTTACATGTTCATATATATATATATATGAATACATGATCATAAGCTTATACATCCGTCACACCAGAGAAATCCCTTTTCTTCTAAGTAGTTATTAGGCTATTAAACCAAAGTGTGCTCACGCTATTTAGCCAAAAAAAAGTGTGCTCAATCTCCCAGTTTCCTGTTGTCTTAGCTTTCTTCTTTACATGCTTATATCTTGCTAATTTAGACCCTTATGGAGAAACCCCTGGGAACAAAGTAAGTAAATATATATATATCCAGTTCATCTTTGTACCCTTACGTTGTATGTACATATATAGAAATATGTCTAGTAGATCAACTTGGTAATTGCATAGAATTTCATGGTTAGCTTAGTTACATGTACAAACAAATTATATAAACAGCTGAAATGGTGAATCCCAACGGTGCTATTGATACCAATGCGAAAGAGCCAGGAGAATGGGGTGGAGGATACGTAGGTTGGTGCAGGCACGGTTGCTGCTATACGGGACGCAATGGCTGCATCCAATGCTGTAGGTACGCCAACGAGCAAACTAGCAGTATGGTGGTGCAGAAACGTAGCGGTGGCAGCGATGTTGCAGAGAAATCATCTAAGGAAGAGGAGGCTTCTCCAGTTTGGACTCAGAGCCGACCCTGAAAAAAAAAAAAGCTAAACCATGGACATGTTACCCTATAACGTATCGCCGTTTTAAACTGCTTGTTTAATAAAATAAAATGATAACATGAGCGTACCGTACCTTAGATGGTACGTGGAATATAGTAAGTGTCCTTCTGTATTTGTTTTGTGTACTTGCGCAGTTCTATGTATGTGTGTGTTTCTACAGGCTTAGAGGATACATACCTCTATGGTATTTTAACTCGAGGTGCCATCACCTTTCTGCATATTCGTGTTTATTTTAGAGTGATAATCATATCATAAGTGATATTACGTGTATATGCACATCAATTAAACCTAATGTACACACTGCCAAAATCGGATAATATGTCAATGTAACACTTTAGGATCGAATCCACAGAGACCAACGGTTAAATTTTATCTTTATGGGATCAATATTAAGGTAAAACAATGATGAGTTTTGATTTTAAGGTATCATAACAAGCAAGTAAGAGGTTAATTTAAGATTTTCAGATGATTAAAAGAGCTAAGTCTAGGGTGATGGATCAGGTGTCAAGCGATCATGAGCCAAATAACTATTCAAGGAACAATTCCAACAAGTCTAGAACTCGAAATACACATATAGATCGATCCACTCTCGTGGCATCTCACCTTTTATCAAGTAATTTTAACACCTAAATTGTCGTTTGGATTAGAATACAAAGACAAACAATAAGCTTAGATTTGATTTGTTCACAAGTTGCCCTAACATCTACTTTTTCTTGTCAGGGATAAATTGTCCACTCATGTTGTTTCTAGAACCTAAGCACTTTTGATGATTAGATTAAACCTAATTACAAACACTAAACGGTTAGTTTAATGCATGCAGTAAGCATAACCATGAACGGAGACAATCACAACAATAATCCCTATTTGTATTTAGCTCATGGATCTAAACACCCTAATACCCTAGACCTAACAATTGACTACTCAGCCATGAAACAAGAAAACACAGAGATAGAGACTGAATGAAAGATGAATATGATTGCAGATAAAATATAAATAGGGTTCAGGGGGTTCTTTTCTGAATCAAGAGAGATGGCCTTCTCCCTTTACAAAATATCAAGTCACAAATCTTCAAAAACTCAAGTCTGGTTGCTTCTCTCGAAACTAGCACAGAAAAATATGGAGAAAACATAAAAATAAGTTATCTACAGGCCAGAGGCGGCCGGTTGGGAGAGAAAATAATGAGATTAGGGCAATCCAAAAATAGGTTGTAGTTTCCTTTAAAATATCTGCAGCTGCTATACTTAGCAATAAAGTATTTTCTTTTCATCTTATTCTTTTGCTATGAATCAGTTGGCTATGTCTGAGTAGATTCATTTGTTAGATTTAGGGTTCAAATAGTTATGAGGGATTAACCCCAACTATGGAGTGTTGAGTTGTTATATTCATTATCCAAATGAACCCTAATGCTTACTCTAGATTAGCTACCTAGAGGTATGATTATGGAGTGACTAATCTAATAGTCATTATCCTGAAATCATTTGGCTAAGCTCAGATTCTATTAGGCACGTGCGATAGGCGGTCTAATAGAAATTCTCGGGTGAACACAGTTTCAATTCGATCTGATGCTATATCGATCGATATTCCTATAGAGTAATCGATCGACGGCAACATATATCAATCGACACTGCGATAGCAACATCGATCGATACTGTCGGCAATCAGATCAATGGACTAGTCTAACTAGCGACAGCTATAGATTTGTCTAAGGATTGAATTTCTCATATATTTGCAAGCAATTCGTTAAGACATCCATAGATTTATAATCCTGATTTTCTGAATAGTAACCTTTAATCTAGCTACTTTCTTTTATTGTTTTAAAACCCAAAACCTATTCTCTTGAGCAACTTACCATTGCTCACAACTTTTATTTACTGCTTTTAAATCTAATCAACCTAGCTTAATCACTTAGGATTATATCTTTTGTGACTCTAGTTTCTTGTGGATTCAATCCCTAAGTACTACGATTGAACCTCTTATTTGAGAGAGTAATTCACTCCTTAGGGTTAAACATTTGAGTGATATCACTGCAAAGGATGATATGGACCTGGTGGGTAAATTTATATACCATTGCAGAGCGGGTCCGATCAGGGTAGAGCCAAATCCTTTGCACATGGTGGTCTCACGAGACTCCCTTGGGAGTGCTACTGCGAGAATCCTTTGCTTATACTGTGCAATATGGTCGTCTGTGTCGCTGGTGCCATCGTACATTTTAATGCTGGGGAAAGAGAACTTCCTTGGCATCTCGATGAGGGCGATCTCTTCCGCAAAGGGGGTGTCAGCATAGGAACCGTGGTTACTCTTCAGGATCGGAGATGCTACCCCTGGAAGTCTTTCCACCAGAGATTGCATAGCGTTTCTGGGAGAATACTTGCTCCAGATAAGCAGTGACAGAGGATTTCATCGCCGCTGCTCCTATGGACGCCTCCTTCTCCGAATCCGACTTAGAATCGCTGGATATTGTCTCGTGGGTCTGGGCGTCTCCACTATTTGCTCGTCTGGGAGCTGTCGTACGGTGTTTCCTCCAGTGTCGGGCGTGTCTAGGCTAGGCATATCTCAAACTTGCGTGCGGAAGTGACGTTTCTTATTGCTCGCCGTGTTGAGGGCTTGATTCTTATCTCGAAGGACAAGGTTTTCGGATTCGAGTTGAGTAAGCTTCTCAGCGCTTTTCTCCAGCAGCTTCGAATGTTCGTCTAGTCTCTCCTTCAGGCTTTGGACCTCAGAAGAGAGCGCGGGGTCTTCCATAGCTTCCCGAGCCTGGTGTAGGTCGGTTACTTGACTCTGTAAGCCGTTTAGTTGTCTCTGGAGTTCGGCTTCTCTTGTAGTAGCTTCTGGTCGGTTGTCTGGCTCATTCACCGACATCGTCACGTACATTAAATTACTCCCCTCCTTCTAGCGACAAACTGTTTGGGGATTTTTGTGTAGGCTCTTTGTGAGTACCACGGAACGATGGATTATCTGATATTTAGTATAGATCTGTAGGCATTTTGTATGGGTTTGTAGGGATTTAGAGAGAATAACAAGGTAATAAGCTTGAAGAGACGTGTATTGATTAGATAGACAAGAACAAGAGGAGTTACAACGAGTATAGGGATAAACCCTAGTTCTAGCTATCTAATCTTAGTCCCCAAGTCTATCGAGTGTCGATCCCTTGCTTTAGGGTTTTAGGACCCCTTATATAGTCGTCTTTAAGCCGGTTCTAGTTGATTTGAATAGATTGAAATCTTCCATATTCAGAAATATGGAAGATTCTTCTTATCAGAAGTTTTCCATTTTCTTGATCGGGGGATGATCCCTGGAACCGATCTTGGAGTTCCTTTTAGTGGAGACCTGGAGCGTTTCCTTATCGGGGACCTGGGGGTCTGGACCCTGCCTAGAGGCTGGAGGAAAATGATACCTGAATATTTTTCCCCAACAAACACTAATGTAAATATAATTTTGTTTGGCCGACATACTTACCTGAGCGGACCAGCTGCTCTGAAGCGAGAACAGCCTAATGGCTGCTCTCTTCTAGCATCTCGGAAATTTCTAATTTTTGACCTGAGATTCAATAAACTAAAACCAAAAATAAGCAAAAAGGAAATCTTAATGATATTTACACTTACTAGTGGGTTGCTTCCCACCAAGAACTTGCTTTAAGTCACTAGCTTGAATTGGTGACATGGATCCTTCGGGTTAAGCATGAGCACTTGTGCCAAAAAAAGCTCCACAATCAGTCATGTTCAGATTCAAATATATTGGAGCGGTCGCTCTCCTTGTTCTCATTGGCAGAGCTAGCAACTATGTTTTCAGTCAGCTCAAATGCTCCATCAGTGGTCTGAGTCATGAAGTCTCCATTACTCGCAAAGTTTAGAACACTCTGGTATCCCCAATCTACTCCATCACAGAAAATGACCAGGAGGTAATCATCATCAAATCCATGGTGAGGACATTTTCTGCGGTAGTCACTGAATCACTTCCATGCGCCGCCAAAAGGCTCATTAGTGAGCTGTGTGAAGGGGGTGATCTTTGTCCTCAATGATGCAGTTCTCGCCTTAGTGTAGAAATGGCTTAGGAATGCTGATCGGACATGTTCCCATGAAGTAAGAGATCCAATAGTGAGAGAATTCAACCACCTTACAGCCTTGCCATCAAGAGAGAATGGGAACAACATGTATTTGATGTAGTTTAGTGGCACGCCATTCCCACGAGTGAAACTGCAGTTCAAAACTCTCAATATGCTCCAGTGGGATCTCTGCCGGGAGACCATTGAACATTTTTCTCTAAACTAGAGAGATAATAGCAGGATTGATCTCAAAGTCTTACCTCAGACAGGGTGGATGAACAATGGCAGAGCACATAGTAGAGAAGTTACGAGGAAGGTTTCTCTGGCTGTTCCTACTGTTGCGCAGCGAGTAAAGCAGCTTGTTATGCAGCTGTTTGCTGAGCTTGGATGGTCTGCTACATTTGCTGCATTTGTTTTTGCATCAGTTGCATTGCTGCAGCGAGATCATCCTGATGGCCGTGATCACCCATGGTGGTGTTGGTCAACCTTGGCTATTGTATGTTCTGTCTTTCTAACCTTGCTAGCTTCTGGTTGCTAAATGCAACTAATTCTCATTGTGCATTGCTCCGAGTATGTCTACTAGTCATGCACCTGGAACAAGCACTTAAGTTGCTCCGCTCGATCGGGAGCAGTCACTTTAGACTGTTCTGCGTGAAAATTACCAAATTGCACTGCTTTCTGCCTCTTTTACTCTAACTGGTCCATCTCTTATCCAGTGCAATTCCAAACCTGTAATAATTCAAAAAAGATTAAAAAGATTGGATAAAAACTCAAAAAGTAATTCAGAAAATATACATACAATGATGTCAAAAACACCGTATCCATAAGATTGGAAGGACTGATCTCAACTAACGGAAAAAAGGTGAATGCATATACCACCACTTGATTGGAGGGTTTAGTCAAGTGTAGAAATTATGGAGTGTCGCCAACTAGATTTTTTTCTTTTCAAATGATTTATTATTTATGTTGAAATATTAATTTATCTATTATATTAAAACAGAAGTTATGACTCATTTCATGTATGACTTTTTTTTATTTGGACCAATACTAAAAAAATTTATTAAATATATTTTATTTTTTATAACTATTTTAATCATAATAATTTTTGATATCATTTTATTTTAAATATAAATATATATTAATTCTTTTTAACAAATCTGTTAAAAATATTTTAGCAAGATCTTAACTTTTTTATATAAATATTTCACTAATTTTGAATTTTGAATGAAATATAATTGTATATTAATATATATATAAATCAGTTATCTCTTATAAAATGAACAACTAAATTTTATTATTTTTATCTATTTTATAATCATAATCTATCATTTTATA